ATAAACACGTAGTCGAGCCGCTGGTCAACATCATCACGTTTACTAACAAGTAACATGCATGTGCATTTGTGCGGAAATACAAACAAGTAATCGATGGTCAGCGGATCGTAGTTGGAAAAATAACCAAACGGTCTCGGTTTCGGGTCTTACAGTCCCCTCTATCTCCCCCTTCAGAGCACTGTAATCAAGCAAAAACTCACAGCTATACTTGTTTCTGCCTCCGCATGGAGTCCAAGAGATGATTGCTCGCAGATGGACGTGCGTACCAGCTGGGGATCAAAGAAGGCAGTGAGCGCATTCATCACCTCCTCAAAGGCCTCGGCCGAGGGCTGGAGGTTCCTCCAACGCAAAACCATTTCCTGCAACGAGTGTAGCAAACATTACAGCGGTTGGTTCACGTCTGTCTGATGTGTCCGTTTTAAAAAAATAGGTAGGATTGAGAGGTTCCTCGCGAAAGCCCGTAAACTTATTCTACTGCCGTAGATATTATATTTTTATGGGTCTTTTTCTCTGCTCTAACTCCCTTTAGCATGCGTGTGAGGAAAAATGCTTGAATAAGAGCACAGTTGCAATTAGTCGGCGAAAATTTGAAATTAAGCCACAATTTTTTGACTTTCAGTTTACATGGGAATTGTCTTGTTTCAACCTCGGTCAACCTAAGACACGGAAACAAAGCCCACCAGCAATTAGGGATAAGGTATGGTTAAAGGAAAGTTTAGAGTTACGGCTGAGGATTGTTTCGGGTCTAGTCTCCGGAAATGTATTCAGCTACCAATTCCCTTTCGGGGAGGTGGCTGTTAGGACGGCACAGAACACGAGTCAACACTCTTGCCGTCCTGGAGTCAGGATGACAAATAAATCCTTACACGCGAAAGTGCGCAGGCACAGAGGGCCACGCGCGCGCGTAAAAACGCCGCCGGCAATCTGAATAGGCCACTAGCGCATGGACCAATAAGAAGGGACAAAGCGGACAAAGGTGGCTTGTTCTTAAATATGTTGCCGCCGACGGAAGGCAGGGAACGTGCTGTTCAGAGAGAAGGCTTGCGGCAGACGAGGACGCCTTGACAAACACGTGCAGAAGCTGGTGTACACACAGAGACTGTTGCAGTAAACTGTTCTCTACTACCTTATCTGTCTTCTCTTCCATACAAATAGGGGGACCATCAAAGTCGCAGATGAGAAACACTGACACTATATTTAAAGCTAACAAAGTACACAAATATTTTCTAGACTCCAGAAATAGAGAATGACTGAAAATCTCAATATATCTCGAAAGAGGCGCTAAAAGTACATTTCAAAGTATATGAAATAACTCAATGAATCAGCGCGCAGTTCTTAGATTCGTCACATGCATGCCAGCAGAAGGTACCTTTCGAATTAATTGATGGAATTAAACCATCGGGGCGTTTCTGTGGCCTTCTAACTGTCTACGAAAAAAAACTTGACAAAGAGCAAATTGTTTATTAGATGCTAATGGCTTACAACGTAAGGAAACTATGTGCTACTTGTCAGCTATGAGTACTCCTGCATATGTTTGAATTACGCGACGAACCAAGGCAAATGTTAGTTGCATCTCAGGAAATTGATTCGAAATTTGACTGACGGTAAACCATTTTTAAAAGAAAAGTCTGCTCACCAAAAACGAAAGAAAGTGCAGGTTGGCATAGAACGTATCACATATGTAGAAATTCACATACTGGTAGGGAAACTAAGAACAGGGAAATATCACCTTAAGTTCCTGAAGGCGGGCGCGTTGATGATTCTCGCGTATTTGCTGGAGCTTCTGTGTGAGGTTTTGTTTCACTTGCTCATCTACGCTTTGCAGAACAGCGACTGAACCCTTTCGAACATCCGAACGATCCACCTCCACAGACAAAGGCTGAGATTGAATTTCAAAAAAAGAATGTTATCACAAAAAGAAACTTTCCAGTGGAGGGGAGAGATTAAATATGAGATCAGGCTGTTCTGCCTGAACCATACTAACTCAATTGAAGCTATCCGATAGGATGCTATATGTTTTTGGAAATGTGACTGTATAGGCAGTGGACAGAGGCTTCAAAACAGAAAGGAATCATGCAGTTGACGCCCCCCTGAACGTCAGAGGAAGTTTGACCGTCGATTTCGACGGTATCCACCATAGGCTTTACAATAAGAGGGCGCAGGGAAGGGGACTTGCGCTG